TGAAAAATAAAGATGATTTATATCTATTAATGGTCATAACTAATAAATGAAGACTACACGGGAAAAACGGCCTAAGTCCAAAAAAATGGAAATTGAGATAACACTGCCATCTTATGCCCATCAAGTGTCCGTTCCAAAATAGGAATAATGTAACACTGAAATAATGATCTAAGTCCACTAAAATCAGCGATTAAAATACTAATACTTTGGAAAAGCGATCTAAGTCCACGTGAATTCACGGAAGACCGATCCAAGTCCATATTTCAAGTTTGTAAACATATCGACGCATACAAAACGAATAAAAATAGCTATATATTCAGCACCATAACGACTTTATGCTGACCTAATTCCTTTGCCCAAACTCAAGTATGAGCAGTTACAATCTTTGAAAATTTCGTAGATGAATCTCTGCAAGACTACTACACAAATTTGCCTTGTGCGTCAAAAATGCTCATCTAAACGATGCAGATATTGTGAGTAATATCAATTAAACTATATTCCTTGACATTTTTGCCTAAGAAAAGAAGTTTGATTATGTCCATTGTGTCACTAGTTTTAAATTCAAAGAAATATTCTGGAAATGTTCTAGTGGAACCATAAGGAACCGTCTAGTCTAGTAGTGTAGTTTCATTTTATCAGAAAAAGATCGCCATTCCTAAGTAAAATATAATCTAATGCTAATAATATTAATAAAAATAATAATAAAATAAGAAATAAATAAAAAAATATAAAAATATATTAACAATATTAATAATAAAAATGAGAATAAAACATATTTTTTCTTTTATTCTCAGCATGAGTAATCTCATACCTCATACAGGTATACAGTAACCTCATACAGAATTATTCCATATGGATTGGGATCACATTTCCATTGAACCAAGCGAATACGACTTTTATTTTATCTAACAACTTTGCTACAAATTATTTTTTATTTGTTTTGTCTAATAATCAGTTCGCTACATTTTATTATTTCTTTTGTCTTTAAAGTTTCAAAATCATTTATCTCAAAAGTAAGAAAGTTTTGTGAAAATCGCCCTTTCGTAAATAATCTTTGTTCTTTAATTCGAAGATTTAAGGGTTTAGATTTTTCACCAATATAAAATTTATAAAATTTACATGGTATTTTGTATATTCCATTTTTGTTTGTTGTCCAGTGCTCATTGGTTTAGTGTGTGTTAAATGGATCTAAGTGTATTTTATGCTTTGTATTTTTTCTGTTTTTTTTGTTTTTTCTTAACATTTAGACACTTTTTTTCCTCTTTCAAATGTCTAAAATTGCTCTGTGTAGGCTAGTAAAATGTGTATAGTAAGAGACAAAACATTATGTTCTTTAGATTAAATAAATTAATAACATATCAAACTATCACAGACTAAAGATTAATTCCTCGTATTTTTCCAGAACCGCTACTGTTGAGAAAAAATGTATTAATTTTGGATATTAAAAGAAGACAGTTGTCTCATTCACTTTGTCCCAAATTTGACAGATACTTGAAGAAGTTGATGATTTGAATATAGCTAGTTATCTAATATGATTTTAAAATCAAATATCATTTAAATAATACACGTAATAAAAAATACATAGGATGCCAACTTTATATAGACACTGTATATTGAAAATTTATTCACACATTTATTGTTTCTTATTTTATCTAAATAAAGTAGTTAATATGTAGTAAAATCTACTTTCCTTTCAACATATCTAGGGTGCCAGGGAAAAAAAGTATAAGTCAAAAAAGTTGATTTTTCAGAAATCAAATTTATTTATATGTGATTTTATGGAATTAAATAGTTATGGTTGTTACTGCATTAACAAAATATTTAATGAGATAAGATATTATACAAGTGAAACACATTAACTCAGCGTTATCATTGAACAGAAAACATGACTTATCCTAATTTGACCAAATGAGAAATGTCACTTATACTATTTAAACCAAACAAAACTAAATCCCCAAACCTATAAGCAATATAAAATCGCTCGAGAATAATAAGACAAAACTTTATTGATGCCTAAAATACTTCATAACTGTTGCAGTTGGTCGCGTAGGTCATCATCTTCTGAATCAGGGTAAGTATCAGGCATGTCACTACTTTTAAGGTTTCTATAAAAATCGTGAAATGTTGGTGAGATAAGAGGAAGAAGATCTAAAATATCTTTTTTCTTCTCTTTTGAAATGGGTATGAAAGATGTATAGAGGCGTTCTGGGTACAAACGTGCATCTTGTTGTCCCCGACGAGTAAGGCATAAGGTGTGAAAAGGCTCATCGTTGTCCAAAGTAGTTTTGTAAAGTATTTTTCCGGATTCGCGTGTATAACGAAACCACTTTACAGAATGCCAGTTGAACTGATTTCCATCGGCATCCTTTTTTCGAAGTTGCAAACTCTTTTTTAGCAGATCTGCAAAATTAAGGAAATCCGAATGATTGAGCTCGATAACTTCAAATTTTTTCTTTTTCCCAACTGAACGAACTAGCTGGTACCAATCATAAGGGTGAGAGATAGGCACTTGCAACTTCTTCTTTTGCTTTTCAATAAGTCCATGGTCCACATCACACTCTAAATGAGTGTGTCCACTAATAAGGAACTTATGATCCACAATTTCCAAGTGTATATTTTTTTTTTTGTTGCATGGGCCACTAAAAACATGGTGGCAACATGGGAGTTTTTGTTCTGCCCTCCACAGGTATCAGAATATAACGTTACCTTTGATACCTGTTGAGGAAGCGAAGTAAGTTCCTTAAAAATGCATGTAGCTATTTGGTTTCCTCCCCGGCCACCCTCAGCTTCATGCCACATGTAACATCTAACATTTTGAGTACTAGTTTCATGTAAGGTTAGGTTGAAAGTCCAAAGTTGCCTTTTGTAAAAGGCAACTGACGTATTCAACATGGGTAAATGATGGCTGCAATCAAACATAAAACAACGCCGAGTTTGATCATTTGCTGCCAGTTCTTTATCTTTTCTTTTCTCTTCGTACGCGTTATCAGCTTCTAAATGGTGTATAGCTAACTCCTCTTCATTTTTCTTCTTTTCTTCTTCATCCCCTGCTACTCTGATTTTCATTCTGAGCAAGTCACATTTATTACAAGTATCGACTTTGGGTTCTTTGAAGCTTAAGTTCATTTTGTGAAATTCTCTTTCGTAGATTTGCCTGGATACTGGCTTTCTTTGGATGCTATTAATTTGGTCACAGTAAAGACTGTACATCAAACTTAGACTTAAATGAGGAGGTAAGCATTCTGCTACTTTCTCTTCGTGTATAGTGTGATTGGTATAGGGGAAACGATGATATGTGGTCTTTAACTTGTTGTAGTGTTTCAATGGAATGTTTGTTAGCGGAAACTGATCTACCCCTATTATCATCATAGGTGATTCCAGATAATGTGCTATTCTTATTACAGAGAGACAATGTAACGAACATTTGTGTTTCCCCAAGCGTTTTCATGAAACAGGCACGACACACACGAACCCTTTCACCATTAATAACAAAGTGAAAGATATGTGTCTTCGTGCGGAATTTTTCTTTATCAGGATCTACTGTTCTTTTTATCGAAGAAGCGGGCTCTTTAGTATCCACTAATCCAGCAATAAATCTTACTCTTTTGTTTCTGTCACCAAGTGCCCAATACTTGAAATATTTTTTTCTCTAATAGTTCTCTCTTCAAATTTCACTTCCAGCTTTTGGCTACATTTCATTCGGCATGACGCCAAGGGCTTTGACACTCTCTCTTTCACTACTTTATTTTAGCCGTTATAACTTTTTTCCGGTGTTTTTTCTTTTCTTTCGCTTCTCTTCTTTCTCGAATAAGTGCCTTTCTCCGCACCATTTTGTCTTGAATTTTCCACCGCAACATCTTTTTGAGCAGCTGCGCATGGTTTTTTATTTCTGGGTCTCTTTGATATCTTCAATGCTGAAACGGTCTTAAATACGTGCACATCATTGTCGTCACTTGATTCGGATGCATCTGGACTATAACTTTTGTCAGCCACGCTGTCGTCACTACATTCCGATAGTACATCAGTTGGTTTGATGGCCTAAAAATTGTTGAAAAGCCATTCAAAAGAACGCGCATTTTATGATATTTTTAAAAATGATATCAAGTCTTAAATTTTCGTGACTTCAGGTTATCAACAACGTTATGGCATGCTCCACGCGAAAATCAGTGTCTATATTTTTATTTTTGGGCGATTTTGAATATAATAAAATTAACTTAGAAACATAATAAAATAGTAGTTTTTACCTGGAACTCCTAGTATTGAGGAAAAGTCCTGCATAGAATTTGATGGTTGGCAAAGATTTTTGCGTAGATCTGCTTGTTGACCATCTTCATTCCGCTCTTTTCCTAGATAACACAACAACTCAGGAAGGTAATCTACATACAAACCACTCTGGTAAAAAAACTAGTCATTCACAATTCAACGTAATGCGTCAAATCATTATATCAAAAAATAGAGGCGAGTGTGTTTTTCCACCCAAACTGCAAATAAGAACGCAATATAACGGTAACGCGGATGTGAGCTACGAATAGAGCCCCCTTTAAAAGGTTTTTAGAATACGTAACTGAACGAAGCAATACCGATTTTTGCTGTTGTAATACCAAAGGTTCCGACCCCATTGATTTTCAAGTTGTTAATACCTTGGCTTTAATAATTTAACCAATTTCTGGATTATACGTAATTTTCCAACACTTTAAAGATGGAGAAAAAACACTAAAACACTGAATTCAATCTATTTTCATAAAAATTTAGTGTTTTTAGAATCTAGATTAATTATGCTTAACTATTTTTAAAAATTTTCTGATATTTTGTATTCGTTTATTGAAATAAATCCTATAGGTGATTCCTGAGAGAGATTTTTAACCTCGATCATACTTCTATGACAAATTTAACAGTACTTTCTGTTAGTTCTGTCTACTAGAGCCCACGTATTTTTTTTGTCGTAGCACCGATCAATTTCCGATCACCTCCCTAGAATAATAATGAAGAAAGCTACTTACTCGCAACTGCTTCTCTAATTTCCTACTTTTACCACTGAAAAGGAAAATGCACTAGCTGAAGAACTCGAGAAAGAAATTGAACACCACTTTCACCACGATTCCTTGTATTTCATCCTTCTTCTTTTAGGGATGAGTTTGATTCAGTCTGTCATCATCGATATTAGGGGTGGGATTCGAATTTCGCGCCACCGTATAGCCAGACGGCGTTAGCTATTGCTTCATGGTCTTGTCGCGCGCAGACTTGGTTAGGTTATCGAGTTACAAGACTACTGACAGCTGAAGAAACGAAGAAGTAGATGCCGTTCTCTTTTGCAGTTTGGTAGGCATGCGCGGCTCGTGGGTGAACGTCTTAAGTAGGTAGTCGAAGACCTCGAAGATTGCGGATATTCCTGCTGATATAGACGAGGAGATATATGCGTCCGTTATTTTGTTATCGTTTAGGTTAGGCACTGAACTATTTTGGAGGTGTATCTCAAGAGCAAATTTGAAGATAAACCTTCAAGATAGGGGTGCAGAATACCCCTTTTGTTAGGATGTAGGATTCCTGCCAACTGATAAGATATGGGATGGAATAACCATATTACGAACAAAATTAAGGATAACATTTTAAAAGTCTGCAGAATATATCTACTTAATAACTTTATTATTGGTTTTTGTGTTTTAATTAAACTTTAATATACTTATACCGGGTGCGTCTCAAAAGTGGCCCACCCCTATAACTTTTTTAATTTTTCAGATAAAAAACGATATTTGGTATGTTAGTAAACGACATAAATTAGGATTCATTGACGAATCAATTGTTTTTGGTCATTTTCTGTTTCACCGGAAATGACTACAACTTTTGATTTTTAAATGACACCCTCAGTATTTTTTTACTTTATTCGATAGAAAATGACACTCTGAATAGAATGACGTAAACTTTTGACATTTTCCCATATCGTTTATTTGAAATTGTAACATGCGGTTCATATCGACAATAATTTGGCTCGGAATTCGTATGATGACCAAATTATTTGTAAAAATGCTTTATTCAAATATGCTAATGAGCCACGCTTGTTCTATTTGAAAAAAAATTGAGATATAATTAAAAAAACGTTTTGGGCATCTTTTAACCGTCCAGGACAACACACAGGAAAGTAAAAATATACCGAGAGTCACTTCCGATGAAATAGGAAGTGAACAAAAACAATTGAATACGTTAATCAATCCTAATTTATGTCATACTAGCATACCAAATCTCGTTTTTTTATCTAAAAAAAAATAAGAAAAGTTATAGGGTGTACTCAAAATTGTATTGCGGTAACATTCTCGACTCGTTTCTTTAATATTACTTTCAGGACCAGTTGAAAAAAAGGTTGAGATGGTTATTTAAAACCTTAATGCAGGCTTGGCAAAAATGGCATCAAAGACGGCTGTTGAATGACAATCGGTGATAATTTTGGCGAGGTCATTCCCTAGACGCTTTTTACTAACAATTGCAATAGAACTTATACAAAATATAATAAAAGGCAAAATCAAAAATAAAAGGTAAATATCTGAAACAAAAATAAAAAAATACTAATAAAATATTAATAAAATTAACTTATATTAACAAATTTTATTTTGAGATATCTTTATTGACGTTAAATCACTTAATTCAATTACACTGGTAACATTTCTTTTATAAGTTTAAGTAAAGAAAATATTAAATTAAAGGAAATTGACTAAAAAAACATATTGTAATTTTTTTAATTCACAAAAACAACTACTTTTGATTTATTCCTTATAAAATGATACCTATATTGTGCACAAAATAGACCAAAAATGTTAAAAGTTACTTTAATCTATCTATGTATTGTTTAATTGAATGAATTGTGATTAAAACCCGCTCGACTATAGGTACTGCAAGAAACTTGGCGCTCCGCAGCAAATATACGGTAGCGAAGTACGACCGTTGACGTCACGCCTGCAAAAGAAGTGAACGGTACCATGGCGCCCAGAATGAAAAGGAAATTGAAGATTGAAATGGTCTGCTAGTACGCCTAATAGATCATCAACCAGTTATACATCATTTATTGTTATTTTATAACAATTACTTAATTGTTCTTTAATAATCATCATATTTTATCTGATCTGATCTGATAGATATTCGAAACGATTGCAGCCACAGTAGAGCAAATTTTACATAGGGTGGACTTTCGGATTGACGAAAGGGTGGGCAGTAGCATAGCCTATGTTGAACCGTGTTATCTTCCTGTTTCGATTTCCTGCAGGGTAGTGTGTCTTTTAGCTTCATTTAATGTGCATTGGATTGGTAATATTCGGCGGTTAGAATTCTAATTAATATACAGGATATAAGAAGTTATGTTTTAGAATTATCAAAACCATTGCCTTACACAAGGATTATCTAGTACATTGTTGTCATAAAATAGAGTTGATGTACTTAAGGTAGTTGTCAAATTTAATTTTGTTAGTGGGGCTTAACTATTATACAGGGTGTCCTAGAAATAAGTGTAAGTATTTTAAGGGGTGGTCGATCTCGATGAAAGAAACATATTTTCTCTTTATGGTTTTTCAAATAAGTCCAAAATAACGAAGTTATTTTACTTTGGAAATTTCCAAAAAAAAAAATTTTTTGCTCAAATTTTGAGAACCACTGGATCTTCTGGATTTTCTTTCTTGCAAATTTAATCTACTATCTATGTTGCCATATTATCAAGAAATTATGTTTGTTAACTAAAAACTAAAAAAAATCCAAAAATTTTTGTACTAATTTAGTACCACAAATTATATTTGACAATAAGCTTCATATAGAGCTTAAAAAAATAAATTTTAAATTAATTAACGTCCGTGTTTATTTTTAATTGATGCCCTGTAACAGACAAAAGAAACAAATGTAAATTATATGCAAATAATTAATTTTGATGAAAAAATACGTCTATGTTCTATGTCCACGGAATATTGGAATTCCCTGTATATTTTGTAGGTCTGCTTTGAAAGAATAAATTCTCCAAAAAGATTTTCCCAAAAACTATGCGATGTTGCGTTTTTTTACAGAAGATTAAAAATGTAGTAAGTACTAGAGAGACCATTTTACGAAAAAAAAATCGGTCGTCATTCAGCTGGAAAACATTTAAAATAAAATTTATGTAGGTGTGTAGGTAAATCATAAAAACTCTAATTCTAGCATTAAAGCACAGTTAACATAATAAGATAAGATTAAGTCTCTGTCATTAAAGCTTCCAATACAAAGACTCAGGAAGATGTCTAGTACTATTTTTATATTTATGCTTTAGATATGATTATTTCATCAATCGATTATCTAACTTTTGTAAAAATGTGAATATGCTGATGAATATTGATATTTGACGATGTTTTTATAATATAATTTGGAAATAAATTATTATTTGATCCTAACTAAGCCTTTTAAATTTTAGTGCGCTTTGTATATTTCGTTATGTACATTCATTAATTTAAGGTTTATATTAAGTAAGTCTATTAAATTTATTTACCATCTTTGTTGCAATAGTCTAAAGCTCTATGAATAAACATTAAGGTTTCTATTAAATTATTCCAGTGTACTTCGTAGCTTGAAGGAGAGATGGCGCTTTCGTTGTAATATAAATAAATATATAAATTTTTAAATTTAAGCGTTTTAAAATTTAGAAAGAAAATAAGACACACTTATTAATTTATTTGTTTTATTCGCAATCAAATGTATATTTAAATTACGTTAACAGTATCACTTTACATGGTAAGGTGAGCTCTAAATTTAATTTTCTCAGAGATATAAAAAGTAATGACAACACAGGTTTACAATAATAGTTTTAACAGAATAAAATTTTCAGATAGTTGAACAAAAACAAACATTATAAAACGGTATTTACATTAAATATACAAATAGTTTGCATATCACAAAACAGGCACTGAAAAAAGAAAATTATTATAAGATTTATATCAACTTTTCAAATTCCTTAAATAGTCTTCTCTAAAAAGTTGATTCAAATATCCCCCGATGTACATTCTGATCCATTCTGGAGGTAACTTTGTGAAGAAAGTCTGAAAATATAAATAAAAAAAATATATAAATAATAAAAAACTCAAAACAAACAAAATTTTAACAAATGACAAACAATAATTATTATTGATTTAGATTTTTTATGCATATTGATAACATTATTTATGTTTTAAAAAATTTATTCTTTTTAGAATACCATTTTCTATCATATAAAGTTTCTCTCCGGATTGCCTTTACATGACGAAAAACTTTTTTATTACAGATATTTTGAGAAAAATGAATTTTTTATACAAATTTTTGCTTGTTCTAAAATCGTTAATCCCATTTCTAATTTTCCAAATTTCTCTACCGTGTTAAAGAAAATTAAAAAATAAACATCAAATTATGGTTGAATTTTTAAAAAAGTCCTAAATATCAAAAGTTGTTTCTACGTAAATATAATTTATATTTCTTTCTTTGATAGATGGTTATTATTAATTTTGATTAACGTCATATTGTTTTGCTGTTGCTAAAGTATCAAATTTTCCGATAACTATAATCACACTTTCCGTAGCCTTGAACTAAATAAATTTTGTGGTTCTTTCACATTTTAAAACAGCAAAAATATGACGTTAATTAAAATTCTGCCAATAACAATCCACCAAAGAATGAAAACGAAATTATATCACCATAGAAACGCGTTTTGATTTTTAGGAAAAAATTCAACTCTATTTTATTGTATTTTTTAATTTTCTCTAAAACGGCATGGAAATTTGGAAAGGTATAAACGGGATTAACCATTTTAGAACAAGCAAAAATTTTTATGAAGATGCATATTTCTCAAAATGTCAATAATAAAACAGTTTTTCCTCTTGTAAAGACAATCTGGGGACTTACTGTATAGGAAAAATATACCGAAGGTACCATTTAAAAATCAAAAGTTGTAGTCATTTCCGCTGAAACAGGAAGTGGCAGAAAGTAATTGAATACGTCAATCAATCCTGATTTATGTTATACAGGGTGTTTTAAAAAACATGTGCCATCTCTTGTGGGGAGATTCCTCACGTAAAAATAAGATTTTTTTTCCTATCAACATAGGACCGATTCTGCTTTGTTTCGTAGCTACAGGGTGTTAATGTCTTAATAACCCGAGAGATGGCACATGTTTTTTTAAACACCCTATATACTAACATACCAAATTTCGTCACTTTTGAAAAATACGCGATATATAAAAATTGATTGTTTTTTTTTCATTCTACACAGTGGCATCGACCGAGATTATCAAGATAGATCTAGATTTGTTTGGTATATTGTTACAATATTCTCTTATGGTCTCAAAAATAACAAATAATCTTACTTGTATTCCATGGGTCCAATAACCGCTAGAATCATCCAGAACTCCAAGTGTGGAAACGGCATATTTGGCATAACTCTCGGCATCAGGTACAAATAAGCTCTTTTTGTGTATTCTGTCACTAAAATGATTCATTTTGGTTGCTACAAACATCGGTGCCAGATGCTGAATAGTCAGGCCTTTGGATGCGTACTCGTATTGAAGAGCTTGAGTGAAATTCTTCACATAAGTCTAAAAAATAAGAAATAGGTAAAATAAACATGCCGGTGACTGAGTTTTTGGTGTAAATATAATACCTTACAGTCGAACATTATTCTTTTTAGAACCTCTTTTAGTGCGAAGTGTACAAGATAGCTTAATAGCCGTAAAAAAACTCATCGCAACTTTATTAGAATCTTTTGAACGGGAAAGCGGTAGTAATATGGCTCTTTATGTCCCTTAAGTGCTGTTAAGAAGGTGAGTTTTATTGATGTAAATAATATCTGCTGATATATTTATAATTAATTTATTTTTGTTTCCTAAAATGTTTTGATTAAAAGAAAATATGTAAAAGTGGGCAACGCTTTGCCGTTCAACCTTAATCACGTGACTAAACGTTTATTTTATATGAACTATATCTAATTCTCTGACTCTTTGTTTTGTTCCATTGACTTTGACAGGGGCGCATATACGGGAGGGGTAATTGGGGTAATTACCCCTTTCAGAAAGAAATTAATTAATAAGATAAAATTTGGTATAAAATAAAATTGCTACAAAAAAGTTAATAACACAAATTAAAACAGAATATCCAAACAAATCCAAGTAGATTTTTTTCCACAGTTACAATACCTTTCAGCAAAAATTTAATTCAAATTTTAGTAGTTTTTTGAATATTCACACTACCCTTCCCAGATTTAATCTCTAAATGCACCACTGGACCTATAACATAGAATACAACATTTTAATGAACAGTGCTTTCCATAAAAACAATAAAATTAAAAATATTCGAAATAATATACATGTACTGATTTCTTTCGAAAAGCGACAACTATGAAACTATGAACCCTTCCCGGACACAAACGGTACATTGTGAGATAGGAAATGGTAGAGAGAAACAAGCCCTATCACATAGGATACAACATTTTAATGAACAGTGCTTTCCATAAAAACAATAAAATTAAAAATATTCGAAATAATATGCATGTACTGATTTCTTTCGAAAAGTGACAACGATGAAACTATGATCCCTTCCCCGGCACAAACGGTACATTGTGAAACAGGAATTTTAGAGCAAACAAGCCCTATTTTCAAACAAGCCCTATACAGGGGCGCATATACGGGAGGGGTAATAGGGGTAATGGGGGTAATTACTCCTCCCAGAAAGAAATTAATTAATAAGATAAAATTTGGTATAAAATAAAATTGTTACACATTAACAGAATATCCAAACCAATCCAAGTAGATTTTTTTCCACAGTTACAATACCTTCCAGCAAAAATTTAATTCAAATTTAGTACTTTTTTGAATATTCACACAACCCCTCCCATACTCAATCTCTAGATGCGCCACTGGACATTCAAAATACATATGGATAGCTAATTTTCGATATATTTTCTACAAAAGCATATTTAAATCCCTTTATACAATAATATATAAATTTTTTCCATAGCAACTGTTAAAATTGCCTTATATCCATTGCCTTGAAACTTATATGGTGAAATTTTGATAAAATAATTTAGTACACACTAAAAACACGGTATGTCGCTAGTGGTAGGAAAAATAATTTTTAGAGGTTACTAGTTTATTTGGTTGCCTGTGATATGCATATACAGGGTGTTTCCTAATTAATCTAAAAAATAAAAAATCGTTAGAAAACGAATTAAGGCGGGCTCTTAATAAGTATATTTATTTTTTTCTCGACAACCGTTTGATGAACAAGAAAAACTCAAAAGATCCATTTTGTTGAAAAAGGATGGCCAGTCAAGAAAAAAAATATATTTTCTTTAAAAAAGCAGTGGTGTACCATTTATGTTAAGCAAAAAAATCGATTTTTTTAATTTTTAACACCCTGTAGATCAGAAAGGAAGTACTTTAGACCCAATGGTTATATAAAAATTGTTTTAAGAACACATGAGGAATCACACCATATTTTTTTAAGACTAATTCGAAAACACCCTGTATATTGTCAACTTGACAATGACTGCTGATAAATCAAAAAATACTTTTTCAGTGAGAAAAGCCTGATTTTCGCAGGAAAAATTTTGATTTTTATTGAAGTTGGGCCTGCGTTTGCAAATACTCGTTTGTTTTTAATTTTCTATCTATCTAAATTTTAAATATCATAGTCAGAAATAGTTTTATTATTTATTAACTGTAAAAATGGTGTTTTCTTGTTGTGTTGCATCTTTCAAAGAAACTAACAAAACTGCAAAAATGTACGTGTTTCGAAAAGACGATAAGGTATGTATCTTAGCTAAAAGAAAAATATATGGTATGTATTCGTTGTTTGCTTTTTTTTCGTTCGCTTTAAGATTTATAAATCTCGGTCTATTCATTAGACAGCCAGTCGACTTACGATCATTTACATGAAACTCTGTAAAATAAATAAAAAAATAAATTGTAAAATATATATATATTCTTATGTTTTATTAAAGTTACTCTGATATACTAATATATCAGTGTAACTTTAAAAATAAATCCTTTGAATTCAAATATAAACATAAAAAACATTTACAGCAGAAAAGGCGAAGGCGCTGGGTTAAACGTAGTCTCCACTAAAAACACGGAGTGGCGCTTTGACCCAAAATTTTTCTATTAAGTTTCATATCTATCTTAATAGTAGATTATTTTCGTTTATCTATGCTTATATTTATCAAAAATAGTAGATAAAATAATACTTTAACCGCAAGGGTAGATTAAATGATACTTTAACAGCGAGGATAGGTTAAAAACTTTATTTCTTCTCGCATGTTTTTTAATTGCTTCCATTTTTGAAAACTTTTGTATTCCTTTTCGTAAATTATTCGGGATTTAAATGGAAGTAGTTTGGATATGGCGTTTTTTGCTTCAGCCTGAATATCTGTTGTTAATTAACTTATTTCGTTTTAAGCCATTTCTGGCTCCAATTCAATCAGCAATCGACACGAAAGAGAATTAAAAAATATTGACTCAAAACTGACAACTAAATAGACAGACATCTTTTCGGTCGACGATAAAATGGTATTTTATCGTCTTGTATAAAAAATAACTATATTATATTACAAGCAAGTTATTAATACTTATAAATTTTAGTACATTTTTTATTTCACAACTTTATCTGAAACACATAAATATGGTAGCTATGTCAAACATGTGAACAAATACCGATGACATTAATTCCATAACGTTCTATTTATTGTGAAACGGCATCTCTGTAACGTAATTAATTAAACAAAAATCGATAAAACAACTTTATATAATAATTTTCGCAAAGGTTTCGTAGGTGTGTCAAGTGCTTTCTTGCGTAAAGCGCAGCTATTGACATTAACATTTGAATGGGCGGTTCTGATGATGTCGCCATAGAACAACGTCTCTAATCGATTCCATCCGTTTTCTAATCATTTTATTCCTCTTAAAATGCGTGTTTATTTTCTCTTTGTTGTGATGGTATAAGGCAAGTAGTGATTAATAGTATTAATTCCAGTCTTTTTAAGTATTTATGTTATAGCAAATGCTGTGCCTTGTTCCTAGAAACTGAAAAGCGTCTAGCAATTTTAATTTACTACTTGAAAATGTATTATGAGTCTTAAAAATGTATCTATCTAATGCGATCCAGAGTTTTCTTTTCTCAAAAAATATGCGAACTCAGTTTTTTTATTTGAAATACTTACTCGAATCTTTTTGGCAATTGGTAGTGGTGCATATACAGGGTGTTTCAAAACAAATGCGAAAAACTTCAGGGGGTGATTCCTTGTTCAAAATAAAGGGTAGTTTGCTTCATAAACGTTGGGTCAAAAGTCAACCATTAGGGAGATATTGCGGTACAAAGATGGCGGAAAAATAATGTTTTTATTTTTTATCTTGAAAACGAAAAGAGATAGACTGATAAAATTTTATGGAAGCGTTACTGTTATGAAAACACACTTTCTGGTAATTTTTCACTTTTTTAAAATGAGTGGAAGGGTTGAAATAAACTACCCCTATCATTCTTGTTAACGAAATTTAAAGAAAAATCTTATCAAACACATGCAAAAAAATTAATTTGGATAGTTTAGTTTGTTCAAAAACTTTTTTATCTCTTGTATTTTTTTGATAAAACTTACCGATTTGAAATTAAAAAATAAAATATAAAGCATTACATGTCAGGACAAAAAACATTTTCTGATAAAGAATCTAGTGGGCTGCTGTAATTTTTTTAGGAAAAAATCTAGTCGGCCGCTGTTACTTTTTAGGATGTTTCTAACATTATTTTATTTGACATTACTCTACTGCAATACGTTATTATCTAGATGATTATTATTATCGTTATTATCACTAGATTCTTAATCTAAAAATGTTTTTTGTCCTGACATGTAATGCTTTACATTTTATTTTTAATTTCCAATCGGTGAGTTTTATCAAAAAAACACAAGAGGTAAAAAGTTTCTAAACAAACTAAACTATCCAAATTAAAGCATTTGCATGTGTTTGATAAGATTTTTCTTTAAATTTCGTTAACAAGAATGATAGGGGTAGTTTATTTCAACCCCTTCCACTCATTTTAAAAAAGTAAAAAAATTACCTGAAAGTGTGTTTTCATAACAGTAATGCTTTCATAAAATTTCATTAGTCTATCTCTTTTCGTTTTCAAGATAAAAAATAAAAACATTATTTTTCCGTCATCTTTGTACCGCGATATCTCCCTAATGGTTGACTTTTGACCCAACGTTTATAAAGCAAACTACCCTTTATTTTGAACAAGGAATCATCCCCTAAAGTTTTTCGCATTTGTTTTGAAACACCCTGTATATTTTAAAAATATTTTCGAGATATACGGGGTTATTCACCACATACGATACGGAGTATTGTAGCTAAACTATTAGACTTTTACAAATTGTAAGTTTTGGGTTCGTTGAAGGACTATTGCAGCAACAATTTAAAAATATTTTTACAAGATACAGAGTGTCCCAAATAATTAAAATGTATCAAAGTTTTATTTTTTTGGCACACCCTGTATATTATCACATTTTTAGTTTCTACGATTAAAATAAAAGTAAATTTGATTAAGATTTACCGCATTTTAATCTTACCGTTTTTGAAGTATTTACGTTTTTGTCAAAATACAGTAAAAATTTTACTGCTTCGTTTTTCTAGGCGCATTTAAGATTTTAAAACCAAATATTGTACTGACGTTTTTCTTTTTATTTCATTTTGTGTTGCAATAATAAAAATTATACTACCTTATACAAAGTGTCTAATAATTTATTTTAAATAATTGTAGCTGTAAACATGGACACATGACACATATGGTTGAAGCATGGACACTGAAGGTAGCAACAATAAACCGAATTGAAGCCGTGGACCGTGGACCCTACGACGAATGCTAGTAGTACCCTGGGTCGACCGTGTTAGGAATGAAGACATTCTCAGAAGAGCTGGTCTGGAACAACGTGAACTCTTCGAATTCATCGAGAAGAGGAAAATAGCCTATTTGGGACACATACTACGTGGAGAACGCTATCACTTTCAGCGTCTGATTCTCCAGGGTAAAATAGAGGGGGGCAAAAGGGGGATAGGACGAAGGAAGCTATCCTGGCTGAGAAATATTCGTCATTAGACAGGCATACAGGACTTCCAAGCACTCCAAGTCGCGGCAGTTAACAGAACCATCTGATGAGGAAGAAAAAGATGAACGCCTACGCAGGAATCTGCACGGCACCTTAAGAAGAAGCTGTAAACGGAAATAACTTGTTTAATTTAAACGGAACACCCTGTTTATTTTCCGAGGATCACAATTTAATTGTATCAAATTGTATTGTACCATTTTTTACCTATCTCTTCAAATAGATGTCGTTTCACTATGTATTTTTAACCCGTAATCTGCCTTTATCACTTTTCGTCTCGCTAGCTTGTGTGTCACGGCCTTGAATTTTTACACCCAGCGCGCGTAAAGAAGTTTTACTTCAAAAAGAAAGTTGATGATGGTACGTCAAAGAGGAAACGTCGCGTCGGTTTTAGAATCTGATGAGATCTCAGCTCCATCTCGTCAAACAAAAAAAAGTAAGTATACTCTGTTTTTTTTCTCAGGTAAGATTTCGACAGACGATGACAGAAGAAAAGCAGATGACGTCCCATACCAATCTATTTATTTTACTAAAAAAAGTTTCTAATTATTTTTAAGTTATCTATGGATGGGTTTAAATATAAATGCGTCATACGTCGTGTCTTGTTGTTTTTAACCAGTTTTATTGGTTTATTTAAAAAATGACAGATCGTATTTCAATTTTATTGGTTTGACGGAACGATGAACGACAAACGGACGCCGATGCGTATGAACTCGCCTTTAGATTTTTGACGCTTGTCAAAGTCTTGCCAAATTATAAGTTATAATTTTGTGTCAACTTTTGTTAAATACCCTGCGTTTTGGAAGATGATGCATTTTGATTCGTATTATTACGTGTGTTTTGTGTCTTTTGAAGTCGAGTGGAGGAAAAATCGAATGAAAATTAACTGTAGACCCAGAGCACAGTTTATGGTTAATACTCGCTGCCCAGGCAGAAAGTCTTATACACCAATGAAGTTGCCATCGATAAAGTTTGTATACCATTTCGTCGTAGATAAGTGCATCTCGTATAAGGTAGAAGGATCAAACTAAACACATACTAAAAACTGGAGTAGCTGTAAAATATCGACATCACACGATAGACAAATAATGGATTTTAGTACTGCAGAAAAATAATGTCAAAAGGTACTGGTTTAAAAAAATTAAGATTAAAGTTAATTAATCAACCTTTAAGGTATAAAATTTGGTAGGTGTTATTATTAATAAAATAGTTTGTTTTATTTACCTATGTTGTTTTATTTATTCCTGTGGAATATTACAAATTTGTATTTGTACATAAGTTATATTGATAAATATAATCATAAATGCGGGTAGTTTCATAAAGCTTGAAAGTAAATAATAGTTCTTTTTTATATTTTTTTGGTATGTAGTGTCTTGTTCTTGTTTGTTTTGTATTAACACATACCGTTTTTATGAAATAAAATAACTCGATTACATTTTTTCAGTTTTATACAGTTTTTTTCACAATATTTTGAAGTAATCACTTGTCATCTTGTCAATCAAATTTTAAATATTTCCTGCTATGCATTCCAGTTGTACCAATTTATTTCTTTGTAAAATAAAATAAACTACTTTGAAATTAAAATGACAGACACATCTATCACTGTCAAGGATCTTCTCGTTGGACAGACTATATATGATATTTATTTTGTTATAATTATTCAAAAAGAGTCATAAAATATAAAAATGAAATGGCGAATATCCGTTTTTTCCAAAAAAGTTTAAGGTGGCATTGTGATCAGAATCAAATTGTGTAATTTTGCCTCCATTTTATTGACCTCTAGTTTCCGAGATTCCACAATGATTGGGTTGAAATTTGGAACAACAGGTACAAACATTATTTTATATCATAAATTATTTTTATGATATAAAATAATGTTACACGCACAAAATTATTTAGAAAATTTTTATTTTTTTAACAACTATATATACCGGGTGCGTCTCAAAAGTGGCTCACCCTTATAAGTTTTTTATTTTCTCAGATAAATAAACGAGATTTGGTATGTTAGTATAATATGACATAATTTAGGGATTGATTGACATATTCAATTGTTTTCGGCCACTTCCTGTTTCACCGGAAATGACTACAACTTTTGATTTTTAAATGGCAACTTCGGTATTTTTTTACTTTATTCGATAGAAAATTACACTCCGAATAGAATTACCTATCATATGTCAACTTTTTGATGTTCCCGCCATAGAGTGCCATGGCTTTGTTAAAAACACTAATTTTTAAACAAGGAGCCTTGGAAAAATAAATTTTATTGTCTAATGTTTTTAGTGTTAACTAAAAACTGTAAAAACTTGAACAGAAAAAAATAACTAACTATCATAAATAGATTAATAGACATTTCAGTAGAACACTTTTTAGATTCCAATAAAATTTGGGACACTCTGTACATGTCTTTGCCTATAAATAACCGCCTAACTACATATCTAAACCCGAACAGAAACATCAGCATTTAAGCCGTCATTCTTGCACAATTTTAAATAGATTCACCTTGTTTCAGTTTTAATGCAAGTGGTTGTTGCTTGTCGTTGCAACATCACAAACAGGCTTTTAAATAATTCTTATTAAATGCTTTAGTGCCTATAATTAGAGATGCACCTTAAAGAAAAATAATATCGATATATTTTATTAGATATTTTTTTCTATTTGCCTTTCGATATATTGGCAGAAAATATAAATTTTTTGATAGACTATTTATCTCTTGGGTATCAGGACATAAAGGTGTCGCAGGAAATGATTCTCTAATTCTAAAGGTGCGTCTAGACTTGAGCATTTTGGCCCGAACGAACAGAACGAACCGAACGCGCAGAGCAGAATTCGCTAAGTTTGGACGCCGAATTCGGCTCGGTGACAGGTCCAGACTAAATATGCGCATCCCTATTTATACTTACTTTTGTTGCAGCATAGACTGTCATTAAAGGTAGAGGTTGCAACTCTGATCCAGAGGAAACGTTCACTATGGCCCCTTTTCCTCTTATTCTCATGTTTTCTACGAACATCTTACATAGAAGTGTGACGGCCCCTACGTTGATTTTTATTATGTCCCACAGTTCCTCTTCAGGTACTTCTCCTAGATACATTGGGTATTCGTATTGTTTACCTACGTTGTTCACTAAGAAAAACAAGAATAAGTCTTTATAGTACAACTTATTTTTACTAAAATATTATACAGGGTGAGTCTTAAATAAGTGCAACTATTTTTAACTAAACTTAAAAGGCCACATACGTATGACTACACTGCTTTTTTTGATATTTCAAACAAAACTTATTAATTATAAATAATTATAGATAAAGGAAATAAATTTAGATTGGAATGCTCGTCAAAATTTTGGGTCGCAAAATTGTTTTAGGTCGCGACCGTTGTACGCGATCTGGCCCTGCTATAGCGGTTGCTAAGAACAACCGCAAACAAAAACAGAAATAATTTTCTCCTATCAAAGTCAGAATCTTCAAAAATTATAAAATCTTTCAAAATCTAAACCGCTGAAAAAATTCCGAAAAGTGTTTAAAGCGTCCATTTTCAAAGTAATTATTGCTATCTTGTGAGTCTAATTTAAGTTTTATTTACTCAAACCCGTGATAATTGTGAAAAAGTGGCATTAAAGACTTAAAAAGCTGTGCTGTGAACTGTGAACTGCAAAAACCATGGTGGATCGTGGCATAACGTCGGTTTCCAATGTTTCATAGGTATTTCATAGGTATTTCATAGGTATTTCATAGGTATTTCATAGGTATTATTATAAAATATTTTTTCATAGGTATTATTATAAAATAAAGTTTCTTGTATGCAACACACTGTATTTTATTAATAAAAATAAAAGAAAATAATAATAAATTTGCATAAATAATATTTGGCGATATAATTCCGGAAAAAGCCGAACCGCTCCAAAATTTTCAAAAGCTTTGGGTCGCGACCGTTGCAAGAATAGCGCCAAATAGTGTTTACATTGTCCTTATGGGCACTTTCCAATCTAAATTTGTTTCATTTATTTATGCTTCATAACATAAATCCTAATAATGGAGAATACCTATTTCATACACGTGTATGTGTACAAAATAATGGAGCTACATTATATTTAAAAAATATTCGGAAAAATAAAAAAACCAGTTGATAAATATGTAAATGCGTCCCAGAATAAAAATTTCATAACAAGTTTATTGCGTTTTATGCGTGTAACATGTGAATAGTGTAGCAAAATGTTAGATAGACAGCATAGTCGTTTTAATAAAAAAAAAATATTTTTGATCACTCTGTTTTTCTTTTAATGCTTTACCATTTCTTTAATTAATATTCCGTCGATCAGTATTATCTAAAATATTTCATAAATATGAATACTTATGAACTGCTACTCATGTTGAACTATATCCAAGAGACTTGTTATACAGCATTCGAAAGCTTTCATTCTCGTTTTATTCTAGATTTCGTAAACCTTGGGTGTAAAAGGTTGCCAATGTTCAACTATCGCCGGTATTACCAATTTAAATGCATTTAATTAAATTTATTAGTTAATCTAGTTTTACCCATATATGTATAAGTTGACAACACGGTTAAATATTAGTAATTAGCGAGCTATTAGAACTAATAACTATGTAGACATTATTGTTTTTAGTACGTTTTGTAAAAGTTATAATCTTTTTTATAAAAAATTTGTTTGATAATTAATTTTGTAATTTTGTATAAAAAGTTAGTGATAAACTCTATTTTAATGATTATGATTTTAAAAATGTTAAAATTATATTTTACTAGGTTAATAATGTAGATTACCTAACGTATGTAGTCATTAAAACTAAATTATTTTTTGGCTTTCTATGACACAGGGGGTCGCCAGAATATCTCAACCTGTAAAGGGGTCGCGAAATCAAAAAGATTGAAAAACACTGGTCTAGACATTGGGTCATTACATTGGGACATTTTTTAACCAATTTCGAATTGATGGTTACTGAGTCGATCACTTTTAATGCTGTTTGACTATCGGATTAGATTTTCTTCTATTATTGTCTTTTTGTAGAGTAAATTTCAATTTTATTTGATTTATTATTAATAGATAGATTCATATTCTTTAACTAATTGCTGCATCCTTTCTGGTTATTTCTAATAATTGTAATTCCATCAAATTACTGAGAAATATCACTGTTCTCGCGTTTTGCAAAATTGCAATCGCTGTAAAAGGTCATGTTTGAAGTCAAGTCTGCAATTTATAATTTGTTCTTGAGAAATAAATCAGTCCTTTGACGTTATTGTCATTACGAATTTCTTACATATCTTTGCTAATATTTATGGATAGTTCAAAGATTTAAATGAAAACCTTGAAAATTTATTTTATATAATTTCTTATAAGATTCTTTTTTATTCCTGACTAGAATAAATATACATATATTACGTAATATTTTTATACAATATACATCATCAATTAAAGACAGAAAATCTGAATTATTATTTTTCTCAATAATCTTTTGGTACTTGCAAGTGTGGTATTTACTGAATATTATTTCATTCATTTAAATTCATCTGGAGAGTTCATGGTTAATTTAAAATTAACCGCTTGCAGATATTCAGTTCTTAAAAAAGGTCATGTTTAGAGTCAAGACTACAATTTACGTTCTCTTCTTTTGGCCTTAATTATCTGTTGACATATTACCAACAAACATTACAAATTATTTACATATTTTTGTTTATATTTTATTACCCGTTTAAAAAATAATGTACAAACCTTGAAATTTTATTTATAACATTTTTTTAAATGTTTGTATATGTTTTAGGTTAAAATAGAATTTCTTTAAATATTTTTAAATCTAATGGATGCTTTATGTTATGGGTATTTGAAGATGATCGTTGACGCGATCATTTGAACTGCCAAAGATTGACTACCACCGTAGTCAATTATTGGCAGTTCTTTTAATAAATATTCATTAGACTTACAAGGAGCAAAACCAGGAAGTTAATAAAATAACAAAACATGTAAAATACTATTTTTGCAAGACGGAAACATCGACAGGTTAAGCAATATACTTATTCACAACCCCTGTCCAACATAGGTATGTATTGTGTTTCTAATAGGTTTACGCTTTGTTTTTCGAAATTTGGCTATTTCGTCACAGATTGTCACTCTCTCTCTTCAATGTTTATGACTTCTTCAAGTCCATCTTATCGAATTTTACCCAAAAAGATCGTGCTTCCTTGTCTAATATACATGAATAGAAAAACACAGAGCTGAATACTTATAGCCCAATTCAGTAAATACGTGAAAATCAATATGGCGTCGAAAATGATGACGTAACTGCCCAGGAGCGAAAAACAAACCGTATATATATTTTAATATAAAATAATTTATTTACGTACCTAAAATACCAATTGGTATTTCTCCAATTTCTTCTTTGACAATATCGACAGCTTTTTTACCCAACGAAAAGTCTGCTTGAATAATTTTCGTTTTGACAGAATAGTTTGCTTCTATAATCACAAAATATATATTAAACAGCACAAAGGGTTGAGTTCTTTTATAACATTTAATTACTATACAGGGTGAGTCTTAAATCAGAGCAAATATTTTAAGGGTAGTATATTTCGACATCAGGAACAAGTTTATGAGGTTGATTTCTAGAAAACTATTTAGAATTGCCTGTTCTTAGCAAAATTTTCCCACTATTTAATTTCTTAATCTCTATTATTACCATGGTTACGGTTTTACTCTAGGGTTACGACACTAAAAGGAATGCAAATACAGAAAAAATCCGGTAACTCTCAATTTTTTTTAAAAGTAATCAATTTTTTTCATACTTGAATAACTTGATTGTTTTAGACTTATTTGAAAAACGGTAAAAAGAAAATATGTTTCTTTTATCGAGGTCCACCTGTCCTAAAAATATTTGCTGTTATTTATTAAGACTCACCCACTATTACTGACCTATCTCTTTTTGTGTTTTTTGTAACTTATCGATATTTCTGCTGACTAGAACGATGTTTATTCCTCTTTTGGCCAATTCGGTAGCGTAAGCCTTGCCAATGCCATCGGTGGAACCGGTGATTACTGTAAATGAGAAACAAAATAATAGGAATTAAAGATTTAGATTTTTGTGGTCTTTTTTTACGTTTGCTATTTCTTCACATTTTGACTTAAATTTTAGGGTCAAAATTGAAAAAAATCTTCCTAAAAATGCTTTCAAAATTCATTTTTGCCATATTGTATACAAATGTATAAGAACATATTCGAATACCAGAAATATTTAAGGTTCTGCTATTTTAAGTACATTTTTTAGAATTTAGAATGAGTGGGAGGGGGGTTAATCACTTCGACCTTACAGATCCATTGTGTCCCCCTTTCTTGAATCATAACTCATCATACAGTCCCAGGGCTTTGACAAAAGCCAGTATCTGGGACGGTTTTATAGAGGGTAGTTCTCCATCTCCAATATCAGTCGTACCAAAATTCATGGCACGAATGGTTGTCATCTCGGCGCACTCAGTGATGAGGTGTACTGGTGTTTCCCCATCTTCCCCACAGAATCTGCATTCGCCGTTTCTTCTTAGTTTCAATCTACTGAGGTGTTCGTTGAGGAGACAGTGTCCTGTTAAAAACCCCGTGACAATCCGAAGATTGTTCTTACTCAGACCCAGGAAGATCTGTGATTTTTCTTCATCATAAGCCCTCAGAAACTTCTTCGAGTGTCTTAGACCATTGGAAAATTTCCATTCCAGGTTGCGGATGGAATCTTCCAAGTTCTTGAGTTCCGCCTTGAGTTGGTTACCACTTGGAAAGCAGAACGGTTCTGGTTCAGTTAGTGGAGTGTTCGCTGCTTTCCTAGCTAGATTATTTGCTTTTTCATTGCCTTCTATCCCTTGGTGAGCAGGCACCCAGTGTAGGAGGACTTTGTTTTCTTTGCCTAATTTATTCAGCTTCTCTATGCATTCTTTGACCAATTTCGAATTGATTGATACTGAGTTGATCGCCTTTAACGCTGCTTGACTATCGATAAGATGGCTATTTCTTGTTTCCGATAGTTCCTATCTAAGATAAGTTGTACGCATCTCTCGATAGCGTAGATTTCTGCCTGTAGGATACTAGGGTAAGTGCCCATTGGTTCGGAGTAATTAGCTCTCGGCCCAAACACTCCGATCCCTGTTCCCGTATTGGTTTTGGAAGCATCAGTATACCAAGTTATGGTATGGTCTTTTAACTGCTGGGCAAGCGTTTCGCTCTTCCAATCCTTCTTATTGCTCAATACTACATTGACATGTTTGTCAAAGTTGTACGTTCTTGGCATATCGTCCACTGGGGGTTGCAGGAGTGGTATTTCCTTTTGAGGGTGTTCCAAGCCCTGATCTGACAATTCTCCCAGTACTAATTCCGTTAGTGACCATTCTAATCATTGTCGCATTGGCATATCTACCAATGACAATGTGCAGTGGTGTTAGATCTAGAATGACCTCCATTGCTGCTGTTGGACAGGTTCTCATGGCTCCTGTGATGCAAACACATGCTAGTCTCTGGACTTTGCATAGGTTTAGCCTTGCCGTCCGTTGCTCTAGTTTTGTGTACCAGGCAACTGCTCCATAAGTAATCATGGGTCTTACTATCATGGTATACATCCAGCGCAAAATGTTAGGGGAGCAGCCCCATCTATTTCCGGCCAGTCTTCTGCATATCATGAGAGCCTTTATGGCTTTGCTGGTAGTGTTCTTAATATGCCTGTTCCACAGGAGTTTACTGTCCAGGGCTATTTAACTTCCTGTGTTGGCAGTATTTCCTTTCCATCTAGTTGGATTCTTTATTTTAAGTACATAAAATTCATTTACTTAGTCTGGTAAAAAATTGTCAGTGGCATGCTATTGTTTTGAAAGTTGGAGTATTCAGATTTGGTAGGAGAGTTTTATAGTGATGAAGAAAAAAACAGGGTGTTCAAAATTAATTTATGTGTGAATTTCGACTTTTTAACATTAAATTTCTAGTTATAATTTGAAATTGCCCCACAATATGTTATAAGTATTACTATTATTACTTCTGATTATTATTATTACTCGCATATAAATGAATGTTTTACATTTATTAATTAATTAATTCAAACTACTTTATATAGTAACCCATCATCATTTTCTCTTTCTTTGTTTACCGAGTTTCACATCACGCTAAATTTTTTTTATCGTAATAGTTATATTCCATTATTTTTCCTTTAAACCTAAACAATATTGTAAAATATCGTTTATCCGTTTTTGCATCACTATTTAAAACTTTCAAAAAGGCACCTGCTCGAGTTTTGTTGCAATTTGTGCAACAGCTCGGCCCGATTAGTTGCATTATTAAATCTTTTGCAATGTAGCGCTTTTCATTAGGTGCGGATACCACTCGGAACAAGAAAGGTTAATAGGCAAATAAGCACATATCAGAATAGCGTTGCTAAATGTACTATTATCTGGCTGATTATTAGTTAGACGCTATCTGAACAGTTTGTAGGGTGTAATTATTGGCCATCATATTTATAAAATTTATTATACTCTTTTTAAAATCTATAGCGGTGAAATATTAATCGTGGCAATTCATATTTGAGCTCTTTATGATTAGCATATATTTGAAAGTGTGTGAGACCGGATTTAGTTTACATTTATATGTCCAAATACATATTACAACATAGGTGACACCAATTTCTAATAATTATATTTATATGACAGCATTACAGTTGGGGGTTGGAACCTTTAGTATTACAACAGCAAAATAAAACTAATTCACCATAATACACCAAAACACATTACTTTCGCACTGGACGCGCGTTTCGCAAATCATGTTAGCAACATCAGCAGATGATTAAATTATATGACACTAAATTAAACAAATAGATTAAATTATCACACTGCAAATTAATTTTTACCTATACAGGGTGTTTCCTAATAAGTAGTTATTTCAGAGTGTGATTCTTCATAAGTTTTTAAGACAAGTTTATACAGGGTGTCCTAGAAATCAGTGCAAGTATTTTAAAGGGTACCAAACCAAACCAAACCAAAACACGAATATTTTAGTAGGTATCAATAAATTAAAAATGCCTTAATAAAATTACTTAATAATAATAGACGGCTTGTTTTGTACAATGTTGATTTGATACAATAAGGCAATTTATTAAATTAATGTCCATTGTTAATTGATTACGTCGTATTATTTGTTAGTCTTTTTAGAATAAGGCGCACAAACATAAAAGCATGACTTGGATTTCTAATGCAAAAAGCGTGTCTTGTTTCAGTTTATTACGAATTAAAAGCTACTTTAGGCTTTTTTGTATGGTCTGCGGGACAATGAATTTGCAATTATATAATAAAAATGTGGAACGGTTTTGTCATGACAAATCTGACATTGCAATTTTTCGTTCATTATTATTTTTTAATTAAACTATTTAGCGAGAAATTTTATTATACAGCTTGTCTTAAATTAAAAAATATCCCTTTTCGTTTTATACTTAATAAAAACAAAAAAAAGTAAGTAAGCTTTAGTAAAAGTTGTAAGCTGAATCTAAAGCTGACGAGATGACAGACAAAGTAATAAACAGACCACATTTCATGTCAGTGCTACAGCCTGACAAGAGTGCAGTTCTTTGTGTTAAGCAATGCTACATGGAGGATTCAGTCTCCAAGTTATTAGACTTTTTGAAAGAGTATGACTGGAAAATGTCACCTACAGATCTCTACCTGTCACAATAGATCTGAAAAGGTAGCAGTGGAATATGTCAATAATTATGTCAAAAAGTTTTCACAATATTTTACGAACTGCTAATTCCAACTCTACTAGTCCCAGACTCTAGACACTAGACTGTCACAAAGTTCCTTACAAATTATAGTCATTATTGTGTTTTAAAAAACTACATTATCATTAATGGTGTTAATTACTGCCTAAATAATTAAAATTGCCACATTTTTAGATATAATTCGTGTTCTAGTACTGATTTTCAATATATTTTAATGAAATTCAAACAAGTACATGAAGAAATCCCGAATTGATCCGCTTTAGTTTGCACAATATTTAAAACGTTTGCACAATAGTACTAAAACTTAAAAAATATACCTTTCGTAATTGCTATAAGCGTAATTGAAAACTCATATACATGCGTTGTCACGTTAAAAGTAAGACGCTTCAAGATTGTTTGCCTACTAATTTGTTTGAAAAGAAATAATGTTAGTATAATTATTCATTTTATAATCCGCTAGTTTCTTAATAGCAAATCAGTTTCATTTTGGTGCCTTGTCTTTTGTCTTTCTCAAAATGACGACACTTATATATGTTTGTTTCGTGTATATTTGAAACTCTTTCTCTCATCAGAAATTACCCATCATCGAAACGATGATCATTTAGGTGACCTTAAATGATGTGGTCAATGCAAAACACAACCGTGCTTTTGTTCCAAGACAAGGGTATAAAATCTATTGAGACGCACTGTTCATTCACGCCAGTTGAGGTGCGTCCAGTAAACTTTATTTATCAAGATAATTAAAAAATAAATGTAGACCTGGTTTTACAACGCATTACAGCAGCTATACATATGTTATATACGTTATACACAAAATCTTAATATGAGTTAAAATAGTATAATGAATAATTTATTACAAAATTACATTTACATTTTTTTGTCGGATATATGAAAATATTAGGTACGTAGCTAGTTTAACGTGGTACTTCCAAATTAGTTGCTAAAAAAAATACTTGATACAAAAATGACTCAGAGCTTAAACAAGTAGTACCACAAAATATAAATTCAGGTTGCTAGTGGATTAAGACATATTTAATGTTAGAAATTAATAACGCAATAATTTTTATAATAAACATACGATATGTGCAAATTGCAACTGCACTTTGAATAAATGAACGTTTGCCGCAAATTGATCCAACTACTTCCACCGGCTTTTATCTAGAACAGAAAAAAATATAGCGAGCAAGTTGTAGTTGTTTCAAATTTCAACTTGACATATTTTCGATTTCTGCAAATTTTGCGTAGGTATATATAAAATAATTCCTTTCACCGGCTCAAGTCTCAACGAAATCAAATTCGGAAA